TTTAACTTAAAAGCTCTCAGAAGCAGGGTGCTACCTACTTGGGAGGCTAAGACCAGGAGGATCTTTGTTCAAGGCCAGTCAAAGTAAACAGTGAAACTCCATCTACAAAATAACCAGGATGAAATGGACTGGAGGTGTGGCTCAAGCAGTAAAGTGCTTGCTTTTTGAGTATGAAGCCCTGAGTTCAAACTCCAGTAACACCAAAGGAAAAAAAAAAAAGTCCACAGGCTCTCCATGGTCCTCAGGACTAAACCCAAACTACTTCGAAAGACATTCAAGTTCCTTAATTTATTTGTTCCCTTACAGCCATCCCTCTAATCCTTTCTCCTGCCACACTTGCCACCTTGTGGTTGTTACAATACACTTCACATACTTAGCTGGTTTCTGTCCCTGTGCTCTTGAACATTCTGTTTCTCCCTGCCTGGAATGCCCTTCTGCCTCATCTACCTGCAACCCTGGCACACCTACTTGGTCTCAGCTCAGACCTTCTTGACCCCATAAACACCATTTCTTCCTCCCTGTAGACTGGGCACTGTTTATAGCACCATGATAGCCCTTACCCTGTGGAATTAAAGTGACTTCTCTTACTGTCTGTCACCCTTACCAGCCTGAGTATTAGCTGTGTGCCTTCTACAGCCAGTTCATGATTCAATAAAATGTTTGCTGGAACACTGAATAATATAACTGTTTCCACATTTGCCCTGATGATAACTATAACAGGAAGGATGAAGATTAGACTTCAGGAAGAACTGGTAGAAAACAGGAACCTGGCAAGGCAAATGGGCTAGTCATTTGTCGCCCCTAGCCTAGAAATTTCCCCAAAAGCAGAGTCATCAACCTACAGCGTGTTAACTCCAGGGGACTTTGGAGATCTAGTCACCCAGGGGGTGGGGGAATAAGAAAAGAGTAATAGAGGAGGTGGACATGATTAAAGTATATTGTATGAATGGAAATATCACAATGAAACTCCACACATTGAGCAATTAATGTTCTGATAAAAAATCTGGTCAGCCAACCAAATATCAGAGTAACTGTTTTGCCCAAGGCCACGCTGCTGGCTAGGGGCAGGGCTGGGGCTAGACTCCAAGTATCTCTGAAGTTTGGGAAGGTGGCTGTGTCATCTTTCCTACCCATCCTAACTCCCCAGAGGAAGGCCCTGATTCCCTATCCTGGTCAAGGGCTAATTCACAGCTCTTAAAGTACCTGCTAGGATCTTGGCTGGCTGGTGTTGACAAAGCCCTGCAGACTGGAGGAGGGGATCCAATTACCCCCACTTTACAGTTTGGCAAACCAAGGCTGGTAGCTAATGGCAGAGGCAGGATTTGAAACTAAGTACTGTGCTCTTCCTGTTGAAGAATTTACGAAAAGCCAAAAATCCCACATGCGCAGAGTCACTCCAAAAATCATGACTGTGTACCTCCTAATGCCTGGGGAATCCCCTCACTCCCACCAGTTCCTCTTTAGCTCGGCCTCCATTCGACTTGACTTGCTCGGGGTGTGTGACTGAGGAAAGAACCTGTCCGCCCACCCCTGCAAGATAGGCTGTGGCGGGTCACAACCTTTCCCAGCGCCCAGCATTTGTCAGGCAACTTGCTCACACCAACCCTCAGTTGGTACTACGGCCCGAGATGGGGAAACTGAGGGTCCCAGATAAGACACTACTAACCACGGTCACGGCCAATGAGTGGCGGGGATGGAAATGGAACTTAGCTAGGACTGACAGTGGAGCAGCCTTCTCCCTCCCCCGGGGCACATTGGGCCCTCCCACCCGGCCACCTGAAGCCTCTCACGGCACTGGCTGGTTACCTCGGGAAAGGAACTTAACCTCTCCAAACGCCCCCAAGGTCAGAAGCTTTGCTCTGAGGGCAGAAAACCGTACGCAAATGAGGCGCAAAGCAGGCGCAAAGCAAACGCAAAGCAGCGGGCGGCGACGCAGTCTTTTTCTTCCAGCCCGGGACTGCCTAATGGCCAAGAAGAGAGGTCGCACCCCTGGCCCCCGGGACCGGTGAAACCAAAGGCCGGGCTGGCGATCGGAAGCGAAACCGCGACAGCCTCCAGCCTCCCCCGCTCGGTTCCGGGAACCGGCGAGCCAGACTTCGCGGAAACACACCCGGAGGCAGGCGCCTCGCCCCGGGGCCGTCCCGACCGCAGCCCACAGGCCGGGCGGAGAGGTGCGGGGGCCGCTGTGCTCGGGCCGGAGCTGCAGCGCGACGCGCGCTTCCGCCCCGCTCGGCTCCGGCGGCAGCCCCACAATCCCCTTCTGGCTCCGGGGACGGGCGGGGCGGGGCGGGGCGGGGCGGGCCGAGCGGGCGGAAATAATTTTCTGTTTGGTCGTCTCTGCCCCAGTCCCTTTGGATGCGCGAGGCGGGCGGAGATGCGGGAGGCGGGAAGCGGGAACAGGAACGCGCTGCCCTAGCGCGCTTAAGGAGGGTGACCGGCAGGAATTGAGCACCTACTGTGTGCCTTAGCGCTTTGCATTAGGGATATCCGTTCGATCTTCCCCACAGCCCTTCCCGAAGGGTGACTCCCCACTTACGCAGGGACTAGCTGAGCCTAGGAGAGCTTAAGTCACTTGTCAAAAGTCGTACATCCCCGACCTGCGTGACACTCCATATGAGTGATACATTACGCCACAATGAACTTGAACCATTTGTTGGCCTATTTTTGTGGATTGGAAAGTTGGAGAATGCTGGAAGTTTGAAAGTTGCTCAGTCCTTGGTACCTGCGGGGTTCCCGGAGTCCCTACCTTCCACACCCCGGACCGCGGAAGGGAACATTTGTGGAGGGTGCTTATAAGAAAAATAGACATCCCATCTCCGCACAGACACAGTATGTGTGGCGGCAACCTAGCCTTAGCTGAAGACATAATGGGTTCAAATCCCGGCTCTGCCACTTTTGGGTTGTGTGCCTTTGAGCAAGTGAGGATCTCGGTGGAGGATTAAACGAAACATTGTTCCTAAAACACTAAACGCACAAATGTCACCCGCAAGTGTTGGGGGCACACTGGGCATGGCCCTGACCCAAGACAAGTCTTCCTGGCCCCTGGCCCCACGTTACTTACCCCTGGGCAAAAGGACCAACGGGCCTTTCAGTAGCCCCCCGCACCCGTCGGGCGAAACCCGAAATTGCGGCCACTTCGGCAGTGGTGGCTTCCAAAAACAAACATCAGATATTCTGAAACTGGCGCATGGCGAGGGCTAACATTATTGAGTCTTTCTTGCAATTTTATTCTTGGGAGCAAAGGTAATTCGTTAGAAACTCTTTGTGAGACTTCTCTGCATCTTGTTTAACTTTTCGTATGAGCGAAGTTCACAAAATACGATCAAGAATCCGGCGTGCAGCAGTCCTTGTAGGAACTACTCCGACCTGCGCTCAACCATACCAACCCCATCTTCGGGCAGGGAGGACGCAAAGACAGGCTACCGCAATTTGGGTCATTAGGCGGAGCCGCTTCGTTTTGACAGCCCTGTGGGATTGTTGGTGTCCACGCAGCAGCAAGTGGAGGTGGGGGCTGCAGCCCTGAGCTCAGCTTCGCGGACTTCCCCAAACTCCCGCCTAGGCTGGATTAAGGGAGTAAATCCCTGACGCTACAGACCAGGTCAAGGACAAGTTCTCCCCCTCCCTACTCCCCCCCATCTGGGCGGGGATTCACCCCCCTTCCGGGATGAAAGGTACTAAAGAGACGCCGAGGGGGGGGCGGCGGGCCCTGGCCCCTTGATGTTCCGGTTGAACAGGTGCTGGTGAAAAGGAGGCGGACCCGGCGGAAGAGTCTGCCAGGGGGGCAGTGCGCTGAAGGGGGAGCGGCCCCCTCGATCCCCAGTCCGCCAGCCGGCCTTCCCCTCTCCTCTCCCTCTGCCCCTCCCCCTCAGGAAGCGTTCCCGGCCGAGGTCTTTGAAGTGTAGTTGAAGCCCCCAGGGCTGCCTTCTTCCCTCCGCCACCCAGCCTCCCGCTGGGGAGGGGGTTGACCTTTGGTCCCAGTAAGCACCGCCCCCCCTTTAGAAAGTGTATGGTGGGGGTGTCAGATCATGTCCCGCTAGTCTCTGGGAAGAAGCTTTCGGGCTCTGCCTCCCTCAATTTTAACTCCAGACCCAATCTGGGGGATGGTGCGGTGTGTGTGTGCGCCTAGAGGTCAAGTGTGACTAGCTCGCAAGCACTTCAGTACTTGTGGTCTGTAACTCGGGTGTTCGCCAAGCGTGCCCGTGGGTCTCTGAAAGGATCAGGTGGTGTTGATGGGTGAAGCTGTGGGTGTGTCGGGTGCCCCTATGGGATCTGAGTCCCTGTGCGTGCGTGTGTCTATGACCTGGACGGGAAGCTTCCAGAGGGCAGGAATATCTATTCCAGCGGCTTGCACATACTAAGCATCCAATAAATATTTGCGGAATGAGTAAATGTCTGCAAGTGAGAGCGTGTCTATCCTCCAGAGTAGCCTCCGAGGACAGATCCCATCCAAAGAGCTGCCAGCCAAAGAGGCATCCCCAAATTTCCCTGAGGTTGAAGACCCGGGAGGAGAGGGCTGCGGAATCCGAGACCCGGAGCGCGAGACCGAGGACAGGCAGAGGGAGGGCTCAGGAGTGACGACCGAGATCCATAAAACGAAAAAGAAAGACGGAAAAGCTGCACGGAGCGAAGGAGTGAAAAGCTCCCTACCAAGCCAGGCTTTGTTCCCTGAACCTAAGACTTTACCCAGCGGCGGGCGGGCCGGGAGCGAGCTAGCGGAGGCGCGCGGCCATGGCTGCCGCGGCCGGGCAGGGGGGCCGGGGGGGCGGCGCGTGAGCGGGCGGCGCGGGCGGGCGGCGCCCGCGATGTGCCACTCGGCGCCTCCCCCGCCGGGCCCGGGCTGCGCGGCGGCCGGGCGGCCCTAGTAGCGGGCGAGCGGCGCGGAGGGGGAGCCCGGCGCGCGAGTCTCATTGTTGTGGGGGGGGGAGGCCCGTCGGGGCATGAGGGCGAGAGCACGGCGGGGGGGGCGGCCAGACAGAGCGAGCGAGGAGGAGGAGGACGCCGAGGAGGAGGAAGGAGGAGGCAAAGAAAAGAAGCGGCGGCGGCGGCGGCGGAGGAGGGGGCGAGGAGGCGCGCGGCCCCCCGCTCCCTCCCTCCCCCCCTAACCTCCGACCCCCACCGGCCGGCCCCCCGCCCCAGCCCCGGAGGGAGCTCATGGGAGTATGAAGGAGATGGTAGGAGGCTGCTGCGTATGTTCGGACGAGAGGGGCTGGGCCGAGAACCCGCTGGTCTACTGCGATGGGCACGCGTGCAGCGTGGCAGTCCACCAAGGTACGGGGGTGGCCCGAGGGGGGGCAGCGGGACCCCGGGGGAGGCGCGCGCGGGGCGCCCCGGGCCGCGCCCTCCGGAGCCCTCCGGGGCTCGCGCGCCCCTCCCCCACCCACCTGAAGGGAAGGGAGGCGTGGGGCTCCCCCTGCCCGGTCCTGGAGGACCGGGTCAGGCATTGTTTTCTTGCCTATTGTTCCAGTTCCGCGCCCCCCACCCCAAGTTAAGGGAGTTTGGGGACAGTCCAGGGAGCTAGGAGTGAACTCCCCGTGCTCCGCGCCGCCGGGTGTCGGGGCTGCTGCGGGAATGTTTACCTGCGAGGTGTCCCCTCCCGCCCGGTTATTTTGGTCCCGGTTCCCGGAGGAAGAGGTCAAGGGGGGGTCATCCCCCCTCGCTTCCGGATACTGGGAGGAGCGGAATTGGGAAGGGAGGAGAAGGGTCCCTGGGGAGTAGGGACTCCTAAAATCTTCCTGAGAAGAGCTGAGAAGGAGAGTGGTTGTGCAGAGGGACGGAATGGAGGAGAGGGAGGTTTGGAGTTTCCCCCAGCAGCACATGGTTCGGGAGTTAACTCCTTGAGGAATCTTGCCGAGGGCGCAGGCTGGCATCTCCCGCCTGTCTGGCACAACCAGCTTGCCCCCCCCCCCGCCCGCTTCCTGGGACAACCTTAATGCTGTGGCTGCCGGTTCTTCCCGCCACTCTTCTCTCGGTTACCTGCACTGCACTTGCCCTCGGCCTTGACTTTGTACCTGTGATAATTGGAGGCAGAAGTTGAGATCCCTGGACCCCCAACTTCCCTGCCTTATCCCTTACTGGCCCTTTAAGAAGTGCATACTACCCCCCCCCCCACAACAAAACGTGTTTGACTATCATGACTGTTGTTTCTTGTTCCCGATGCCTGGGACTGGTTGGGGGCAGGAGCTGGGAAACAGGTCCAGAAAGGGCGTGTGGGGAGGATCTAGGATCTTCTACAAGTTTAAGGTCAAGGACTCAGACTTCCCGCCCTTGTTTGGAGTGCTTGGGTGTGTAAGTAAAGGCTGGTCTTTTGCTGTTGGGCATTGCTTGTGGTCTTTTGTTTAGGGATTGAGACCCCAGACCCAGGAACAGCCCCCCTCCTGCTGGAATTGGCTCCAGTCCTTTAGAGTCATTCTGTTCCCCCAGTTACTCTGGGGGAAAAGCCCGTGGCTTTGCTCAGTGACTCTCCTCCCCCACTCTTAGCTTGCTATGGCATCGTCCAGGTGCCAACCGGACCCTGGTTCTGTCGGAAATGTGAATCTCAGGAGCGAGCTGCCAGGGTGGTGAGTTCCAGACTCCTCCTCCTGGCCCCTTCCCCTTCCCACACACCTGAGCATCTCCTCCTGGTTGAGCTAGGGGACTCAGAAGCTGAGGCTGGGGTGGGACCACGCAAGACTTCCTGTTTCCTGCACACCTATCACCAGCCGCATTGCTGGCTCCCTCAGCTCATCCCTCACTCTGCTCCACCTCAGGCCTGGGGACTTGGTTTTTTTTTGCTTTAACTTCTTACCATGGGAAGTTTCCAAGGCTCCAGAAATAGAGGGACTACAATAATGAAACTCAGGTCCTCATCATCACTTAGTCTTAAACAATTATCAACTCACAGCCAATCCTCTTTCCCCCACACTCTCAGTCACCACCTTTCCCCAGATCTTATCATTTCCATTTTGGGGCCCTTTGTGTTCAGGGAGGGCCCAGCTCATCAGATCCCCCAACCCCTGTGCCCTTGCATTGGCAGAGGTGTGAGCTGTGCCCACACAAAGACGGGGCATTGAAGAGGACTGACAATGGAGGTGAGAGGGACCCTGAGCTCTTGAACCCTTGGTAAGGTCAACAAGGCTCCCTGAGCAGGTCTGGGAAAGCAGGAGTGGCTTGAAGGGTGGGGGAATGGAGGCTGGGTTCCTTTCACTGGCTGGTGCTTGAATCTGATGGGAAGGCTGTGGAGGAGGGGACAGTCTGTAACCTCAGGTTAGGAGGGGTGGGGACTCTGGCTTCCCATCCCACTGAAGCTGGACCCCACACTGCCCCAGGCTGGGCCCATGTGGTGTGTGCCCTGTACATCCCGGAGGTGCAGTTTGCCAACGTGCTCACCATGGAGCCCATCGTACTGCAGTATGTGCCTCATGATCGCTTCAACAAGGTCAGCTGCCCCTGCCATGCCCTAGTCTCCTCCCTGGCTGACCACCTTTGTGTCCCTCCGGTGCTTGCTTATTCCAGTGTAGCTAGATTCTGTCAAAACAATGCTTACAGGGCCATTGGGAAGTGGCTAGGTACCTACCCAGTTTTGTGGACACAGAGACACATACGCTCTGGAGCTCAAAGCAGTAGGTCCTTTTACAGCGACACAACCAGGTGTAGTCTCTCTCTCTCTTTTTTATTTTTATTATTTTTTCTGTTTTGGTGGAACTGGGCTTCTAACTCTGAGCTTTGTGCTTGCCAAGCAGGCACTCTGCTGCTTGAGCCACACCTCCAATCCATTTTTCTGTGTTATTTTAGAGATGGGGTCTCATGAGCTATTTGCCTGAGCTAGCCTCAAAACTTGATCCTCTTGATCTCAGCCTCCCAAGTAGCTAGGATTACAGGCCTGAGACACCAGTGCTAGGCTTAGGTGTCATCTTTAGCTAGTGGTTGATTCATCCCCAGCTAGTGGTTGATTCATCCCCCATAGATGGCCACATTTTATTTATTTAGTTAGTTAGTTTTGTGGTACTGGGGGTTTGAACTCAGGGCCTGTACCTTGAGCCACTAGCCCTTTTTTGTGTTGGATTTTTTTGAGATAGGATCTGGAGAACTATTTGCGCAGGCTGGCTTTTTTTTTTTTTTTTTTTTTTTTTTTGGGTGGTACTGGGGCTTGAACTCAGTACCTTGAGCCACTCCACAAACCCTATTTTTGTGAAGGGTTTTTCAAGATAGGATCTTGCAGACTTTTTGCTCCATCTGGTTTTGAACCTCAGTCCTCCTAATCTCTGCCTCCTAAGTAGCTAGGATTACAGGTGAGCCGCCGTTGCCTGGCTGTCCACATTTTATTGAGTGCCTACTGTTTGACATACCTGGTACAAGTACCAGATACATAGTGTTCTGCATTGGTCAAGACAGATGTACTGACTGCCCAATGAAACTCATGTTCTGTGTGGCAGACTAAAAATCAATGCAGGCAAATAAAGTGGGTGCAATTTGTGATAAGTACGATGAAGGAAATATAAGGCACTGACATAAAGAATACTTGCTGGGGCTCGCTTTAGACAAGGTGGTCAAGGAAGGAGACACTGAGGCTGAGACCTGGGGCATGAGAAAGATGTGGCTTTGGGGATGCTGAGTTCCAGGTTCCGGGCAGAATGTGGAGCACAGGCAGAGGCCCACAAGGGGAATAGGCTTACCAGGGAGTCAGTGGCTTTTCAACCTTCACCAAGAACTGTGCTGTCTAATGTAGTAACTGCTGGTCACAGGTGGATATGGAAATTAATTAAAATTAAGTATGATTTAGAATTCGCTTCCTCAGTCACACTAGCCACATTTCAAGTGCTTAGTGGCCCATGGAACCACTGGCTACTGACTTGAATGTGCAGGTTATAGAACTTCTCCATCCCTGTAGGATGATTAGCACTGATCTGGGATGGAGGGGAGAGGACAGAAGTAAGGGGAGGTCAAAGGACCCCTCAACTAGCATGACAGGGGCTCCTTGGAGGAGGGGACAAGTGCACTGTGTCCTGCAGACCTGTTACATCTGTGAGGAGCAGGGCCGGGAGAGCAAGGCAGCATCAGGAGCCTGCATGACCTGTAACCGCCATGGATGTCGACAAGCTTTCCATGTTACCTGGTGAGATTGATGTCCCTGACCCCTTCTCTGAAGTTTGTCATTGGGGTGGGGGAGCGGCTGAGTGGGCTCATCCTAGCTACTATCTCTTCGGGAATGGTAACAGTGGTCTTCGGGCAGGTCTGGGATGGGAGGAGGTTGCAGCTGCTCTGCTCTGTGGTCACCCACCCCCTTTTCACCTGACCTCTCTTGGGTTAGTGCCCAAATGGCAGGCCTGCTCTGCGAGGAAGAAGTGCTGGAGGTAGACAATGTCAAGTACTGTGGCTACTGCAAATACCATTTCAGCAAGATGGTGAGTCCCATCTGCCAGTGCATGAGTGGGTTAGTCACTGAGGGTTTAGAGGGCAGGGCTCTGGACCAGGCCTGTGCCTGTGTGGGAGGCAGTAGACCCCTGCCCTGTCGTTGAGGAGCTCTCCCTCTGATGGGGAACAAATTGCAGCTTGGGGAGTGTGAATCAGAGCTGAACCTAGCAGTCCATCCCAGAAGACAGCTCAGACTCCGCCTGTCAGGGAGGCTGCAAGGACAAGGGAGCCTTTTTAAAGGCTTCACTGAGGGGAGCTGGAAATACAAACAGCCAACAATTATGTGAGAGGTGACATCTGCTCTGTCCCAGCCTTGAACCAGTCTACCAGCCCTTTTTTGTAATGGGTTTTTTCAAGATAGGGTCTCACGAAGCCCAGGCTGGTTTCAAACCTGCTGATCTCTGCCTCCTGAGTAGCTAGAATTACAGGTGTGAGTCACCAGTGCCCAGCCTCTCTACTAAGTTCTTGACACATATTATCTCGTGTGGTCTTCCTACCAACCTTAAGAGCTAGGTGTGTTGCATTTTCCCCACTGCATAGATGCATAAACTAAGGCTCCCCAAGGCCATTAACTTATCTCACAATTGGTGGATGGGATTTATAACAGGCAGTTTAATTTGAAAGCTCTTTGAGAACCTGTTTAGCCAGCACAAAAGAAGCCCCAGCAGGGCATAGACAGAGTCCAGAGATGAGATGGAGCACTGTGAGTGGCAGAACAAGGCATTTCGTGGAGCCAGGCAGGAGTAGGTGAGGTAAGGAGATGGAGCTGAGTCTACTTCTGCCCTAGGCTGGAAGGGTACTGTCCCATGTCTGTGGGGAGACTTGCATGTTCCAGAAGCTGTGATGTGTCTGCAAAGCTAGGCTGTGGCTTGGACTCCCCCAACCAACCCCCACCCCAGGCCACAAGCTTGGAAAGCTGTATAACATGGTGAGATTTGTGTTAAAGGAAGATTACCCTGGCAGCCACAATGAGGCTGGATTGGAAGGGCTGAGGCTGGCAGGAGGGAGACAGCTGTGAGAAGGGGGGATAGAGGAATGAGTCTGGATGCTGGAGCCATTCTAGGTAGACTTTCCTAAATGGTGAGGTGGCCGAGAAGCAGGGTCCAGGCACTAGACACTAGGCGGATACAGCTTGGATCCCTGGGGGTGCAGCTGGCTTCAGTAGAGAGAGCCTATGTCTTGACTCATCCCAGATGGTCTCAATTTGTGCCTGTTACTCTGGTATAATGATTAATATAGGTCTCCCTTTCATTTTCAGAAGTGTCCTGGCTTGGGTAACAAATTATATAGTCACCTTGGTTTCAGGATTTTATGATGATTTAGGACAAGGAAGGGATCTTGATTGGGTTTTCGGGAGGTGCCAAGAGGAGTTGTTCAGGTTTCATGAATGTCAGACCCCTGGACAGGGTGGTAGGGGTTGCCCCTATAAGGCTGGGGTGGACCCCCAGGTTGTGGCCAGGATATGGGCAGGATGGCATGGCCAAGGTGTGAAGGAACCATGGAAAAGAGGGGCTGGAACTTAATAGCATAGGATCTATACCCAATACCGGGGCGATGAGGCAGGCAAGGCCTGAAATTAGCCCTCAGTTTTGACTGTTGGGGAATAGTTGGTGACCTCAGAGGGAGCAGCTGCAAGCCTAGGACAGGTGAAGCCATCAGTCCAGGCGAAGGGGGAAGCAACTCCTCCTTGTGATGGCTGGAAAAAAAGTGGGAGCAGTATGGGATGTGGAGTGCAGGGGATCGAGGCCTCCCACAAGGGCCCCCAGCACACTGTCTTTCCAAAAGAATGATGTAGAAATGGGCTCAGTCTGCTTGAGATGGGCCAAGGGATAATGAAAAGAGTAGGTAGCGGTGCACAAGAGATCCAAGCCCCAGGCTTGGATCTACTTACACTTGCACTACACCTTACTGATGGCCAAGTCATGTCCCGCCTTTCTGGGCCTCCGTTGTGGAATCTGCACATTGGATAAGCTGGTTGGGAAAGTAGAGCATGATGGAGAACATGAGTTCCTCCTAGTGATAGGGCAGATGGGATTGGCCCCAGGGTCATACGACCTTCAGGGACCTTTTCCTAAAGCTAGTAAAAAGGTTTGTCAGTTCCTCTCAATTCTCTCTCTTAGAAGACATCCAGGCACAGCAGTGGGGGAGGAGGAGGAGGAGGAGGAGGATCTGGAGCAGGAGGAGGAGGCAGCGGAGGTGGTGGTGGCAGCAGCAGCAGCAGCAGTGGTGGCAGTGGTGGCGGCACAGGGGGAGGCAGCAGTAGCTTCGTCGCTGGCAGGAGAAGCCGGTCAACCTCACCATCCGCTCAGCAGGAAAAGCACCCTACCCATCATGAGAGGGGCCAGAAGAAGGTGAAGACTCCCCCTCCACCCTCCCACTCACACGCCTCTTTCCAAAAGCCACCATGAGGTGCCCCAAGAGCTGGGGCACCTGCTCTCTTCCTCCTTCTGAGGCCACTGAGGGACAGGAAGGGCTGAGGAGTACAGCATGAGCTCTTTGTGTCTGTGTGGTTCCTCTCTCCTCCCTATAACATGTCAATATCTCCAACCCCAGACATGTGGCCAACACCTTTTGCACACAGTGCCAATCTAGCTGTGTGCCAGCCACTTCCTAATACACATGCCTGGGTCCCTTTGTGCCACTTACCACAGTGTGCCCGTGTCTCTGCATGGCATCTTGTCCTGGGTGGATACCCTTGTAGGTGTGTGCGCTTGTATGTGGTGCTCTGTGTCACTGGTGGGATAATGGGACAGGCTATTTTTAGCAGGTAGAGAGGATGAGGGGGGAGGGGCTTTTGGCTCTCAGAGGATCTTGCCTGAGCCACTCCTGTCTAGCCAGAGTCCCCCATCCCTCTGTAGGGGGGGTGACTCGCACTAAACCTCATCTCTGAGAGGGGGTCAGCTCTCCATACCCACATGCTAGGTTTATTCTCCCCCAAACAGTTTTCCAGTATCACTATCTAGTCACCTAGTCACCTAGTCACCTTTTTCTCTCCAGAGTCGAAAGGACAAAGAACGCCTTAAACAGAAGCACAAGAAGCGGCCTGAGTCTCCCCCCAGCATTCTTACCCAGCCTGTGGTCCCCACTGCTGACAAGGTACTGTTGTCCACATTCAGGAGGGATTATGTGCTGGTTCAGGAATGGCAGTGGGAGGAGGGTGAGACTGGGACTCACATGGTGACCCTCCCACAGTTTTAGGTTAGTGTCACCCCCCCCCACCCATACCTAGCCTAGAAGGAGCCTGTGCTCCTCAGTCCAACAGAGCAGTGAGCAACCATGAGTACAGGGTAGCAGTACCACCCTACCCTGCTGGCTGCCAGATGTTTACATCTGCTCTGTCCAGACTAAGGGTCTTGGCACTGGGCTTTTGTCTACAGAGAGTGAGGCTGCAGTACTCAGCCCTGTTTTCCAAGTTCCTGGAGCTCACCCCTCCAGAGATAGGCAGAGGACCCCTCTGCCATCAGGAGGATACCCAAAGCCTGTTGCCTAACTCAGCTCCCACTCCATGGAGTGCAGGTTGGAGGGACTGAAAGTGCTGGCTGTGGTACAAGGGGGTCAGTCCCCTGGGCAATACCCCGAAATCCCTAGGCATCTCCTGCTTTCCAGTCGGGTGTTCAGTCTCAGGCCTGTCTCCAGAAATGGGCAACAGGCAGACCCTACTCTAGGCCAGGGAGTCACTAATCCAAGCCAGAACAGGCCTCCCTCTCCCTGCCTATCCCTCCAACCTGCCCTCCCCATGGAAGGAGAGCCCTGGGGGCCTGGAGAAACTGCTTCCTCCTATTGGTTCTATTGCCAGTCACCTTCACCACCTCAGATGGTTGGCAGAGCTCTGGGCATCTTAGCAGGAGGCTCAGGTATCAGGTTTCCAGGGTGAAGTTGCTGCAGCAACTGCTCCGGTAACCCTCTCCCCTCCCTGTTTCCCAGGGCTCACCTGGAAAAGCTAGTAGTTCATACCCTTGGCCTTGGCCTTATGGGGGAGGGGAGAAAGGGCTGCAGGCAGATGGAAAGACCTGGGAGTCCCCCAGTAACTAACTAACTGTCCCTGGGACATGCTCAAGGAGCCTCTCATCCCCCTCCACTGCCCAAGCATCTCAGCCACCCTCCCTCCCCCAAGTCCCTTTCTTCCCTTGCTCTCAGAACCACATCTGGCTCCTTTCAGAACTCCAGCTGCTGAAAAGAACAAAGGATAAGACAGAGACCAGGGCTCCACCCAGGGAGGGGCAGTGCAGGGTGGCTCTCATTCCCCCATCCATCCTCCCTCTGCATGCATTTGTTTACTCCGCACAATTTGCTGAATACCTGGTCTCCACCAAGAGGAAAAGCGTCTTCCCTGGCAGTAATACAAGGCACAAATGTAGACAGACCAGGCTCTCTTTTAGAACAGGAGATGGAAGGGGTATACAAGGAGGGCTTCATTTAATCTTCAAAATCCAAGGCAGTAGGTATTTTATTATTCCCATTTAATAAATGAAGCTGAGGCACAGTGAAGTTAAGTAATTTGTCTAAAAGCACACAGCTAGTAAGTGAGTCGGGTTTTGAATCCACACAGTCTGCCTTGAAGGCCTGTGCTCTTAACCAGCACACAGCTGCTACTGTCAGACTCACTATCGTTTATTGACTCCCACCATGTCTCTGGCATTCTTGTAATTCTCAAGAATCCATAATTAGCCCCATAAGGACACTGAAAGTGAATGAAGTGGTGAGACCACAATACTAAAGGCCAGAGCCTTTTATTGGGCTCATGCCTGGCCCTGTCCTGCCTGATGCTAGGGCCCATGCTCCTCCAACCACAGCTCTGCTGCCGATGTCACTGCATCAGTGACATATCTGATGTCTCAGATATGAGACAGAATATTTTAGGGCAGTATGGCAATTGCTGACGTGTAGATGTACACAGTGCTCGGGAAATAAGAAGGCAGAATGGCTTTTTCCACCCTGTATCTGGGGAGGCTTCATGGAAGGTAGGACTTTTTGGGTTTTGAGGGAACAGTAGTTCTCAGGAGGAGCAGGGATAGATTGTCCTTGAGAGGGCAGCCAGAGTGCTCAGGTTATGGAGGAAGAGCATGGAATGGTTTGAAGGGGAAGAGGCCAGGTAGCCATGGGCCAAGACAGCTCTGTCTTTTTGTGGGTCCCTTTCCTTTGTGGGCCTAGCCTTCTCAGGCATGAAGCCTTCATAAGTCAGGTGAGTCAGTCCATGCAGGGTCCCCTGTGGACTGTTCTCTTCCCTTAGCCCTCTGTCTTCCTGCCTGAGGTAGGGATAGACATGTTCTTGGGTACAGAGCATACATCTCTTGCTCTCTCACCCTCAGAATTTCACAGTTGTGTCCCCACCTTCCTGAGCTAGGAGCTCCCAGCCTGGCATGAAGCTTATTCTTGGCTCTCCCAGTGAAGACCAGGTCCTGTGCTCTCTCATATCAGAGTAAGCCAGGCCTGGCAGCTGGCTTTGATCCTCCTCTGTCTCCCCCTCCATCCTCAGGTCTCCTCTTCAGCTTCCTCTTCCTCCCACCATGAGGCCAGCACTCAGGAGACCTCTGAGAGCAGCAGGGACTCAAAGGGGAAAAAGTCTTCCAGCCATAGCCTGAGTCATAAGGGGAAGAAACTGAGCAGTGGGAAAGGTGTGAGCAGTTTTACCTCCACCTCCTCCTCCTCCTCCTCCTCTTCCTCTTCTTCCTCCTCTGGGGGGCCCTTCCAGCCTGCAGGTGAGTGTGGGCATCCTGGAGGAGGCTGGGAGCGGGGACAGCCACTCGCCCTGCACTTTCCTAGTGAGAACTTTTGTTCATTGGTTTGCATCTACTTACTTTTACAAATTGGTGCAGGGTAAAGATGGGGGATCCCACGCAGTGGCTTGTCTCTCAGCCAGCCCTCCACCCTCTGCTCTTGAACTGGACCTCTCCTCCCCGGACCCACTCCTGCAACCCCATAACAATATTCATTCAACCCCACACTTGTGCTGCAAGGGCCATTTTAAAACACCAACATTAGCATTATATCCTCTAATCTACAGTCACCCAGTGAGCTCACTGGGGTAGGAGTGCCTCTCCTCCCATTTTACCAGTGGGAAAGCTGGAGGTGGGGACTCCTATCCCAGGACACAGAGGGGCAGGACTGGGCCAGGAAACCAGGCTTCTCCATTCCCCAGCCAGACATCTCTCCCTGCAGTGTATATGGGAGTTGGGAGGGAAGGAGGAGGCCTGGGGTCCAGCCATAATTCCCTTTTCTTTCTATGCATAGGCTCATCCCTGCAGAGCTCCCCTGACTTCTCTGCATTCCCCAAACTGGAGCAGCCAGAAGACGACAAGTACTCCAAGCCCACAGCCCCTACCCCTTCAGCCCCTCCCTCGCCCACAGCCCCTGAGCCCCCCAAGGCTGACCTGTTTGACCAGAAAGTGGTCTTCTCTGGCTTTGGGCCCATCATGCGCTTTTCCACTACCACCTCCAGCTCGGGCCGGCCTCGGGCCCCGTCCCCCGGGGATTATAAATCTCCCCATGTCTTGGGGCCTGGGGCCTCAACTGGCACCCACAAGCGAATGCCTACCCTGAGCACCACCTCTGCACCTGTTGAGGAGACCCCAGAGACAGCCCTGAAGGAGAAGAAGCACAAAGCCAGCAAGAGAAGCCGACATGGGCCAGGCCGTCCCAAGGGCAGCCGGAATAAGGAGGGCCCTGGGGGCCCAGCTGTCCCTTCCTTGCCTGGTGCCCAGCTGGCTGGTTTTACTGCCACTGCTGCCTCACCCTTCTCTGGAGGTTCCCTAGTCAGCTCTGGCCTGGGGGGTCTGGCTTCCCGCACCTTTGGGCCTTCTGGGAGCTTGCCCAGCCTGAGCCTGGAGTCCCCCCTGCTGGGGGCAGGTTAGTGACCCCTTGGGGTGGAGAGCATCTCAGGGCCCAGCCAGTCTCATGAGGGGACAGAGGTATAAACATGCTGTTGGAAGGAAATGCAGTGAATAGAAACTGCTCCACAGTATAGAGATAAAGAATGGAGCTATAGTTACCTCTAGGACATTCCCCTATGTGTGTTCTGTATGATTGTGGGAGAGGTTGGGGTAGATTGCCAGCAGGATTTACCCAGTTCTGGGAGGGAAATTAGAAAAGCTTGAGTTACCCAGGCTGGGCAGGCACACCAAGGAGATGTCAGAGAGGGTTAAAGTGGTGTGTGTGCCAGACCCAGGGAGCAGGCTTTCTGGAAAGGAGCTGTCTCAGCTACCTGACTGAAGAGCAGTGAGTAGTGACTGCAGGTCTCCTTTGTGTCCTTGTGCCTGTAGGCATCTACACCAGTAATAAGGACCCCATCTCCCATGGTGGTGGGATGCTGCGGGCTGTCTGCAGCACGCCTCTCTCCTCCAGCCTGCTGGGGCCCCCAGGGACCTCAGCCCTGCCCCGCCTCAGCCGCTCCCCATTCACCAGCACCCTCCCCTCCTCCTCTGCTTCCATCTCCACCACTCAGGTAAGGCCTTGTCCCTTCCCTGAGCAAGGGCAGGGGACAGACTGCAGAGCCCTCCTTGGGAAGTCAGAGATTTGGCTTGATTGCCAATGGAACATCCCCCTCTCCCTGGTCCTTTCTCCTCCACCACCCCAGTACAGTTGTGCCCTAGATCCAAGAATAACTACCAGACTGGATTCTACCTCCTTCCCTCAGGTGTTTTCTCTGGCTGGCTCTACCTTCAGCCTCCCTTCTACCCACATCTTTGGAACCCCCTTGGGCGCCGTTAACCCCCTCCTTACCCAAGCTGAGAGCAGCCACACAGGTATGTGAGTCTCTGGCCCTGTTCCTTTTCTTTCCAAAGGCCTGAAGGATGTGAGCCCAGAAAGGATGAGAGGGCTCACTGGCCATGCTCACCCAGCCTAAAACAAACAAGAACTTTACATAGAACGAGTGGGGGCTGGGATGATACTTTAACACTAAAACCCAGTGCAGGAGCAGGACAGGGTAGAATTACTGCCCCATCTCACAGAAGAAAAAGGCCAAGAAAGGACTTGGTCAGGGCAGTTGTGGGAGCAAATGGCAGAACCAGAGCTCAAATTCCCACTCCTGACTCCAAGCCCAATGCCTTTAGCGCTTCTCCATCATTCTCCCCCGTGCTGTTGGGATCAGCAGTTACGGAGGTGCCACCAGTCGGCCTTCTGCTCTCTGAGTATTTAGGAGTTAAAGGGGAGGACCCCAAGCTCCCCGCCCTCTCCCTGAAGACTTGACCCAGCCCCAAAAGCTGATTGGTGCAGAGAAACCACCTGTCAGCCTGGGGTGGAGCTTAGCGCTGGACCTTAAGTCCAGGTAAATCGTTAAAGGAACCAAACACGATTCCAGTTTTAAGAGGAACAAAGTAGGGTGATTATGTTTTCAGTAACCCAAAGGGAGATTCTGTGGCCCAATAAAAAGTATTGCCTTCTGGCTTGGGAGTTTTTGAATATAAAAAGTCATGCAAACCATTCATAAATGCCACAATGTACCCCCACCCAGTGCAATTAAAAAAAATCATACTAAGTTAATTATGATAATAATATAATTACTAAGGGCTTGCTGCATGCCAGCTACACCCTCCAGCTAAACACTTCACATTTGTTAGCTTATTTTAATCTTAGTAGGAGGTAAATTACCAGCCCAGGGTCACACAGCAAGTTAGTATCAGGTTCAGATTCAATACAGATTGATCTCAAATTTATCTAATTCTGAAGCTCCTAGGAAGGAGAGTGGGCGGTGGATCTTAAAGTAAGCAGACAGCAGGAGCCTTAGGTCTTAAGTCTAGATTGGCGATCTTGTGGAGGGGGTTCTGCGCTGAGGTCCCAGATCTCGCACCACCACCCTGGTGGGGACTCTGAAGTGACAGTCCTCCTACCTCGCTGATCCCTACCCTCTCTTCTTCCAAGAGCCAGACCTTGAGGACTGCAGCTTCCGGTGTCGGGGGACCTCCCCCCAGGAGAGTCTGTCTTCCATGTGAGGGAGGGGACTTGGCTGAGGGAGGGGTTGGGAGAGGGCCTGGATGGACACTGTAGGGAGGAGGGTAGAGGAGGGGCAGGGGAGAGCATGGGGACCCCTGAGTGCGGAGGGTTGAATCTTTGTGAGGTGAGCCTGAGCCTGGTCTCCCTTCTGACCCCAGGTCCCCCATCAGCAGCCTCCCTGCACTCTTCGACCAGACAGCTTCTGCACCCTCCGGTGGCATCCAGTTAGATCCAGCAGCCCCAGGAACCACTAATATGGAGCAGCTGCTGGAGAAGCAGGGCGATGGGGAGGCTGGTGTCAACAGTGAGGAGGGGTGGCATGGGGCTGGGAGACCTGCCCTTGCCCTCTGCCTCTCGCCTTTCTTCCCCAGGGCCTCAGACTTTTTTAGAGTCCCACTCTCTGCCTGTCCCATCCTTGACTACGGCCTCTTCGCCCGGCCTTCAGTCCTACCCCCTTGTACTTTCCCTTTGGCCCTTGATGCCTCTGACCCAACTTGCTCTGTTTGTATTTCCATTCTGGTGAATAGCATTAGGCCCCCGCCCCCACCCCCACCCCCGTTCCTCACACCTGTGGCCCTCAGAGCTGCCTCCCCAAGCTCATCTGCGTTGCACTAGGCTGTGGCAGTCTCTTTCCCTCTCCAGGCCCCGCCCCATCCTGCTGTCCCTGTCCTAGTCCCAACTCCCCCAGCACAGATGTCTCTTATCCTGTCTGCAGTTGTGGAGATGCTGAAGGCTCTGCATGCACTGCAGAAGGAAAACCAGCGGCTGCAGGAACAGATACTAAGCCTGACAGCCAAGAAGGAGCGGCTGCAGATTCTTAATGTGCAGCTCTCCGTGCCCTTTCCCGCCCTACCTGCTGCCCTTCCTGCCACCAACGGCCCTGTCCCTGGGCCCTATGGCCTGCCTCCCCAAGGTGAAGGGATCTTGCCCAGGATGGGGGGCCCTGCCTGACTGTTCAAACTACTTCACTCTAGCCCCCAATTCCCTCCCTCAGCGGGCAGCAGTGACTCCTTGAGCACCAGCAAGAGCCCTCCGGGCAAGAACAGCCTTGGCCTGGACAACTCTCTGTCCACGTCCTCAGAGGTAGGCACTATGAGGAGGGGGCAGGGAGGAGGTCTGGGAAACTCAAGGTCCTTCTGCTAATATTGGAGGCTGGGCAGTGAAGTGATTGGCTGAGCAATTGATCAATGCATTCATTCATTTCTTTAACAAGTATTTGTGAGGTGCCTGCTTAGTGTCTGGCATTGGCTAAGTAGTTAGTGAGCAAAATGACACAGTCCTCCTGAAGATAGGCTACATCCAGGGAAATGGCAAGTAATTATAAACTAGGAAAAGTGCTAAAATGAACTAAATTGAGGGCTATGAGAGAGAAGAGGGGAGGGATTCTTCTTGGATGTAAAGTGGTTAGGGAAGGCCTCTTTGAGAAGTATTTGTGAAGGGCTTATTATATGCCTCACACAAAATAATCCCTGTGTAATTGCTGGTGGTTGGAATAGCAGTTGCTATTGTTATTTTGTGGTTATTGTTGGAATCAAACAAACTGGTTTCTTGTTCTCTGCCATTTATTAACTGTGACTTGGGTAGTCATAATCATAAAAATAACATTAATTGCAAGCTTGCACTGAAACTTTTAAAGCATTGCTTTATTTAGTCTTCACAGTAACCTTGTGGAATGGGTATTACTATTACCACCAGTTTATGAGTGAGTAAACAGAGACAGAGAGGTTGAACCCAAGGCTACCCAGGCCATTGAGTTGTGGACATAGGATTTGAACCTGAGCATCTCACTCCAGCTGTAGTGCTCTTCCCTAAATTGTTATTTTACCTGAGTCAATGGCTTTACTCGTAAAATGGAAACAAAGTAGCACAGGTCAAGGACAAACCCCTAGATCTGGTTCCTGGGAAGTCACCATTGCTTGTTATAAAGCAAGGATGACAAGGGGTGCTGGGCCCTAAGATGTGGTCAGTAATTGTGTTTTAGGAAAATTGAATTCTTAGCCTTCATCTTTGGGCCTTGTTGCTTCCCCGCAGGGTGCCTGGGGGTGAGAGGGGGAGAGCTGTGCTCCTTGAGAATGCTGTTGGGTGCTGGGCTGGGGGCCAGAAAGGTCAAGCTGGTCCTCTGCCCTCTGACCCCTCCCTTCCCCCTCTCTCCCCAGGACCCACACTCAGGCTGCCCAAGCCGCAGCAGCTCATCACTGTCCTTCCACAGCACGCCCCCACCGCTGCCCCTGCTCCAGCAGAGCCCTGCTACTCTGCCCTTGGCCCTGCCTGGGGCCCCTGCCCCCCTCCCGCCCCAGCCACAGAATGGGTTGGGCCGGGCACCTGGGGCAGCCGGGCTGGGGGCCATGCCCATGGCTGAAGGGCTGTTGGGGGGGCTGACAGGCAGTGGGGGCCTGCCCCTCAATGGGCTACTGGGGGGATTGAATGGGGCTGCTGCCCCCAACCCTGCGGGCTTGAGCCAGGCTGGTGGGGCCCCCACACTGCAGCTGCCAGGTTGCCTGAACAGGTGAGGGAGAACTCAGCCCTGGGGAAGGGAATGGGGAGGCTGACTCTGGGAGGGACCCCCAAAACACCCCAAAAGGAAAAATGTCCAGCCCTGTAGGATATATAGTACTGTTGGCTGCCAGGGACTCCCTGGACTGTGAGTCCTGAGTGTGTCTGGATGGGAATAGTCTAGTGACAAGAGTCTGTCTTACCATCCTGGACTCCAGGTCTTCATTCTGGGCAGTTCTTCCCTCTCATCTGTGTCCCTCCCACCTCACCCTCTGCACTCAGTCAATGTTGCACATCCTTGCCTCTCCTTTGGGTCTTGCTTTGGGTCTAAGGGAGTCTGGGAGCTGGAGTGGGCTTCCCTGCGCCTCCCCCATGGCCTATGTGTCATCCCCTTGCTTAGCCTGACAGAGCAGCAGAGACACCTCCTCCAGCAGCAAGAGCAGCAGCTCCAGCAGCTCCAGCAGCTCCTTGCCTCCCCACAGCTGACCCCGGTAAGGTCCCTCCTTTCCCTGCTACCTGAGTCCATCTCTGCCTGGAAGGACCACCTCAGAGGATCTCAGCCAGCCAGGGAGGGCAGTGGGGAGGAGGCTCCAGGCTAGGCAAAGATTGATCTTGTGGGACTGGTGGGGTACAAGGAGATAAGACTGCTCTCAGGGTCCCCTGGGCATTGGGGCAGGGATGCTGTAGTGGATTGACCCCAGATTGCATCATAGTGAAAGGGTCTGAAGTGTGACAGGTCTAGTAACTGAGCATTTCAGTTCCAACATGAGAGAAACTCCAGGGAGAGGTGCCTGAGCAGGCGACGACCCCCAACCAGACCTGATTCTTTTTGGTCTGTGTCTTATGTTTGGCTTCCCTAAGATTTCCTTTGGAGGAAAGGGATTTTTGCCTTTTAAAAATAAGTGATTTGGGCTAGGAGCCTAGCATACACAAGGCTCTGGGTCCCATTTCCAGCATGATTTAAAAAAAAAAAAAAAGGAGTCAAGAAAATAAGAAAAATAAATATTTTCATATAAAGAAATACTAGAGCCAGGCACTGGTGGCTCATGCCTATAATCTTAGCTTCTTGGAGGATCACTATTGGAGGCCATCCTGAGCAAATAGTTTGAGAAACTCCATCTCTAAAATAACCAGAGCAAAATGGACTGGAGGGTGTGGCTCAACTGGTAGAGTGCCAGCTTTGCAAATGCAAGGCCCTGAGTTCAAACCCCAGTACTGCCATAAATAAATAAAGAAACAATAGAAAGACAAGAAACCAACTCAACTGAATAGCTGTTGGGGCCAGTGGGAACTGGAATAGGAAGAAAATTTCTTAAGGTAAACTTTGACATAATATTTTGACTTTTGGAACATTCAGAATGCTTTGCCTATTCAAAACAAAAATAAATAACTCAAAAAAGAAAATGGGGAGAGTTGAAAACTTTTGATGTAGTTTAATGTTTTTTAATTGGAGGCGATACAATCCTGGAGGCATTCATGACGGTAGTAACACCTAAGGACCTAGTTTAGTGTGTATTGGGGAGGGGAGGCAAAGATGTTAAATATCTTGCACTTGACCAGCAGTGTCAAGTTGACAGATGCTGAAGATAAGCAACCATTTTCTTGTCCAGATGGGGAGACTGAGGTCCAAGTTAGAGACAGAGCCTTGGCTATTTCTCCTGACTCCTTCCTTATGGTTCCAGTGTGATGGGGTGGGGCCCAGGCCTAACAAGGCAGGCAGGCATCTGGGAGAGACAGCAGGGACTCGGCCAATGGACAGTCTGGCCTCGTTGCAGGAGCATCAGACTGTTGTCTACCAGATGATCCAACAGATCCAGCAGAAGCGGGAGCTGCAGCGGCTGCAGATGGCGGGGGGCTCCCAGCTGCCCATGGCCAGTCTGCTGGCAGGAAGCTCTACCCCACTATTGTCCGCGGGCACCCCTGGCCTTCTGCCCACAGCGTCAGCCCCACCCCTGCTGCCCGCCGGAGCCCTGGTGGCCCCCTCACTGGGCAACAATACAAGTCTCATGGCTGCAGCAGCTGCGGCTGCAGCAGTAGCAGCAGCAGGCGGACCTCCAGTCCTCACTGCCCAGACCAACCCCTTCCTTAACCTGTCAGGGGCGGACGGCAGTGGCAGTGGCCCCAAAGGAGGGGTGAGTAAGAGGTCGGGGCCTACCTGTTTCACTTCTAAGTGATGAACAAAGTCAGAAGGACCATATCAGATACATGAGCAGGGGAAGCAGCAATGCCTAAGTCAGCCAGGTTCCCTGCTCCAGACCCCAGGGCCTCTGTTTGAACATGGGTGCCTGCCTTTCTACAGAGCCAGAAAAACACTCTGAGCAGGGGCTAATAGTAATTCTAATTCTAATTCTTCCTCTGGGAAGACCAATTAGAAAAGGCCATTTCCTTTCTGAGCAGACCAGTTAGACAAAGATGACCTCTGGTCATGCCAGTGAGAGAGAGAAATACCCTGGACACAGTCTGGTGCAGGAAGCTGGCCTTGGCTGGCATGTGCTTGCAATTTCCCCACTCCCCCAACATTGACCCTGGTGAACATCTGCTAGAGCCCTGCTAGAGCCCTGCCGGAGGCTTCTATCGCTGCCTCTTCTGCACCTTTAGTGGCTTTCTTGTCCCAGGAAGATGTTCTTAATGGGCATTAGGTCCAGACACCTCCAAAATTCCCAGCCTCCCTTCCTTTCTTTTCAGACTGCTGACAAAGGAGCCTCAGCCAACCAGGAAAAAGGCTAACTCTACCAGTGCTCCTCCTGACCCCTACGTGGAGGGCTTAGACCCTGGCCTGAGATGTCCTACCCTGGAGCAGGCACCTGGGCCCAGACACTGGAGGGCCTGGCCCAGAGCATATGCTGAGACCCAGAGAGTACAGGGAACTCCTGGTGCCAAGGATGGAGACCTGGAGACCAGGAGGGGGAGTCCTTCCACCTGCCCCTTCCTTCTCCGCACTGTCTGGTTAAGAGGCCCAGAGGAAGGACAGGTTCTAAGCCTACCTAAGAGCAAATGTTTAGAGCCCCTTAAAAGAGCAAAGTGGGCTATAGCATGAGTTGGGAGGGCTGGTTGGACCCACCACATAAAATGGATCAGCACTTGAATAGTAAGAAGTGGAGGGGTGGGCGTTAGGTCTGTCCCTGGGTGGAAATCCTGTATGGAAGAAGGGCTGGCCCCACTTGACCTTCAGTTTGTTCCCAAGCTGGGCAGATGGCAGAAGGGATCCCTTCGACTGTTTCTCCCCATCCTCCCTTTCCCCCGCCAAGGGCCCTAAGCTGAGCTTGTAAAAGCCTACAGATTTGAGGCGGAGGAAGGACAGGATAGCATTAGACTCAGCCCAGGCCTCTGGCATCTCTTAGGGCCCCAGTGATTGGGGTGTGAGGAGGCCCTTGCATCCTGCCCCTTGTTTGCACTATTGGCTTGAGGAGTGCCGAGGGTTGGGAGATGGAGCTGCCTGACTCCACAGAGTGTGAGTGCGTGTGTGTGTGTGTGTGTGTGTGTGTGTGTGTGTGTGTGTGTGTCTGCCTGCCTGTCTGTCTGTCTGTCTGTCTCTTCCCCTGGACCTGGGGCAGCCTAGGGCAGGGATAGGAGTGATGGTCAGTGCCAGAGTGGGGAGCTCCCAGCTCTTGTTTGTATCCTCCCCACCTCACCAACTCTGGTTCCTTTCTAGGGCATGAATGGTTAACAAAATCTGGAACAGTACTCCAGTATTGGAGAGTAACTGGGGGGCTTTGAATCAGGGTAATATCCTGCCTTCCCTCCCCCAGGCCCCACTTGGTCTCAGGGGCCCCCCAGGGCCCTCTGACCCCACTGGTAGTTGGTTCTTCTTTACTGGCATGAGGGATTCGGAGTGGGGACAAGGGCCACTTTTAGCAAGTCTCCCTTTTATAGCCAGCCTGCCTCACAAATTCTCCAACCCCGGCCAATGAGGGGAGCCACAAAAGCTGATTAACAACCGTCCCCTCACCCACCAGCTTCTTCCTGAGGTGTAGTGGGTGGTTCTCACCATAGCAGAATCCCATCTGCCCAGGACCTTTGGCAAGAAGTCCAAGTGGGACATGGGAGAGAGGCAATGGAGGCCCGTGTCCCTTTCAAATGCACTGGGTGGAGTTGAGGGCTGGCTTCTAGCTTTCCCTAATGCCCATGTCTGTCAGTCTCTTTGCATGTGTGCATTTTTGTGTGTGTTTCTGTTTGGATTTTTGTTGTCATTGGGGTTTTTTTTTTTTTTTTTTAAATAAAGAAAAGAAGATGTATATATTTTTGGCAATGACAGAATTGTAGTGCAGATATATTTTTGCCTGTGCTGCTCAACTCTTTTTTTTTTCTGATATGGAAAATAATATTATTCCTGTTGATAAGACTTTGTAAGATGTTAGGGAGCTAATAATGGTCGGGGTGGGCGGGAACCTTCAGAGGCAATTTCTTAGGCACTTGCAAAGGCTGGGGGGGCAGTTTGATGACCTCAGAAAGACTTTTTATTACTACTAAATATCAGTGAGGAAGACATGATAGATGTATTCATTTAACCCATTAAACTGTAACTCCCTGCCCCCAAGCCGCTGAAAAAATAACCTTCAGAAATTCTTAGAAGACTTGCTCATTGACACCCACGCCCTTGCCCAAGGCTGAGCCAGCTCAGAGCTGAAGTTGCCTCTGTTCTGATGGAAGGGAAGGACATCCATGCCAAGGCTGCTACTGTGGGAAGTGAACCGAAAAGATTCAGTGCACTGGAAACAAGATACTCCCCCAGCATGCTGTGTTCTCGACCATCCCTATCACCTTGACCTCTGGGGAGTCTGGCCTCTCTAACTTCCAAGTCCTTTGCATTCCCCAGGCTGGGATACCCTGGGAGGTAGTCAGGTTAGGTTTGAGAAAAGCATATGTTAGTGCTGCTGTTGACACTGGCAGCATTCAGAGAGGTACTGACTCTTCTGGTGAACCTTAATCATAGGAAAACTGAAGATCCTCTGGAGGGAGCAGGATACCAAGGCAGAAGGATGGCTATAATGACCTCAATCACAGCTTCAGTCCATTCTTTGAGAATGAACTTGAGTGGGGAGTGGGAAGGATGCAGATTTGTGGAGCTGTCAGTCTAGGGGAGGGGAAGGATGTGGTTTGCAGAGCGGAAGTGGGGCTTGAAAACGCATGAGTGGAGCTTGGTGTGTCACCACCCTGTGTGAGGGGACATGAGTGGGTGTGCATTGCTGAACTCATGTGGTCAAGAGTCATAGCTAGTGGGTGAGTGTCATAGCTGGAGGGGACCTGTTTTTAGGGGTTGGAGCCAGCTCCTGGCTTCACAGATGACAGCTCCAAGCCTAGGAGGGGCAGACAGTGCAGAGCTGGGACCAGCTTTAGCAACTGGCCTCCTGGTTCAAAGCCCCTTTGCCCTACTACGTGACCTGTGTGTGACTGGCTGTCCACCCCTGTGTGAGTGAATGTATGGCATGAATGCAGGGCTATGCCCAGGGTGGGAGGGTGTCTGTGTAGCACTGTCTTAGCTCAGAGCTGACTGGATCCTCTCCATAGATTATGACACTTTAAGGGTTGCCTTTTTAAAACAATTTTTTACCCCACTTGTGGGATTTCCCCTCAGGCTCCTGAGTTTACTGCTGCCTCTAGGTACCCTGTCCTTCAGGCTGATGAGAACCCCTTCCATTTCCTCTGCTGAGACCTAGGGAAGTGCCCACCCCAGACTTGGTAAGAAGGGCCAGTTCCAAAAAGGGGTAACCTTCACAATTCCCTTTCCCATACTGGAGATGCTGACAGATTTAAGAGAGACCAGTGTGAGGGGTAGATAGCTTGCTCTCAGTTCTCCTTTATCCCAGCTTATTTTCCCAGGAAGAGGTACCTGGTGGGAGGGATGGTAGTAACTCCCAACGGGAATCCGGAGGAAGGTGGGCTAGTGGCCCTGGCTCGCTCCAGCTAGATCAACTGGGATTGAAAACATGTCTAGCGCCTCATGAGGCCGCTTTGTTTTGATCTACTGATGAGTGGGGTACCGCAAGATATCCTCATTCTTCTTTAGTTCATTTCCCCCCCCCCCCCCCCCCCCCCTCCCCGCCCCCCCCCCCCCCCCCCTCCACCCCTCTCCCCCCCCCCCCCCCCCCCCCCCGCCCCCCCCCCCCCCCCCCCACCCCCCCCCCCCCCCCCCACCCCCCCCCCCCTCCCGCCACCCCCCCACCCCCACCCCCCCCCACCCCCCCCCCACACCTCCCCCCCCTCGCCCCCTCCACCAACTTGGAATTTGGGTGGTGGGACTAGAAACCCAAGCCCTGCCATCCCAACCTGTTTCCATGTAGCAGACCCTCCCTAGGGAGCAGGGAAGGGGAAGCCACAGATTGCAATCCCAGGGGCTCCTTTTTCATTTTTTCTAAAACCTTTATATCCTCAGCCCAAAAGGCAATGCCCCACCCCCTGCCACCTCCAAGCCTGGAATTGTGCATAACCCGGATCTTGTATCTTTGTATAAGGGATGTTATTTGTACGAAGGGCAGTTCGTAAACAGCACTTGTTCTTTTAATAAAAGAATGTTTTACAAAAAAAAAAAAATCCTGCTTTGTCTGGTTTTTTCGAAGGAAGGAGGGTGGCCTGCCTGGCGGAGGGCGGGGTGTGCTCGGTGTCCTCTCTTTTTCAGCACTTGGAAGAGTAGGGTGCAGATCAAGACGCAGACGTCGGGCGGGGCGCGGGGCCTCTTAAAGTGATGCGATGGCCCCACATCGCGTGCCCTTTTAGAAACACTGCCCTTGACTGCGGGGAGATCCGGAGCACCCCAGGGCCGCGCGGGGGTTCCTGCGGCACCTACCGGCCTTCCGGGCTCGCCGGGCCCAGCCCCACCCGCGCGCGGCCGAGCGGCGTCTTCCCGGCCGAGCCGGGCCCGACGGGCAGGGGGCGGAGCGGAGAGGAAGAGTGACCCGCGGCGCGGCGGCCATGCGCGGTGTGGAAGCGAGTCTGCGGGCTGTGGCCGTGCGCGGAGCCTGGGTGAGCACCCTCGACCTTCTCCCCGCGCGGGGCCCCGGGCCTCCGGCTTCCACCTCTCGCGGCCCGCGGTCACCGACCCCAGCCAGGCCTCTTCCCAAGCTCCGCTCCTCTGCAGGCCGGGCGGTCCCCGAGTCCCCGCGCCGCCTGAGGCTTTGCAGCCTCACGTCCCCTGTGTCCCTTTTGCCTCTTCCTACATGGGCTTCCGGCGTCCTCCCCTCCACTGATTTTGTTTTGTTTCCAAAACCATCTCTGTCTGCATACGTGCCTGGTGGAAGCTATGCCAGCGGCGGGACATCTCCTCCTGGCTGGTAAGAACCCCAGGCATCCCCTCCTTCCCTCACAAGTCTCCCTGTTGTAGAGACTTCAGGGCAAAGGCCCGACAATGAAACCAGAAAGGGACAGCCTTGCTTCCAGCCCCCAGAGCTTGCCTCCTGCTACCCCACTGGCTCTAGTGGATGTGGGATGGTCCCACAGGGCACCTTGGGGTAGGGAGCCAAGCTTCTGCGCTGACACTTCCGCCTGATAAGCAAGCCCGGGCCCCCTAGCACCTAGATAAGAGCCAGGTTGAAGGAAGGCAGCTGGACCCTGAAACCTGAGTCATGAAATCCTTTCTCTCTAAAGGTCAGGGTGCATAGGGTATCCTGGTGTGGTGGTCGTCTTGCTGGGTGGCATTGGACAGCCTTCCGTAGAAGCCTGTCACTCCACTCCTGGACAAATGGGAAAATGGGCCAGGCTACGGGGGGGGGGGGGGGGGGGGGGGGGAGTGCTTCAAGGGCTTGGACTGACTCTGAACTCCTCATTTTCCATGGCCACAGGCCCGATGGTTCCCCAAAACCCCAGCAAAACCCGTGGTGGCCCTGAAAAAGCCCATCAAGGTGGAGCTGGTGGCTGGAAAAACCTATAGGTGGTGTGTGTGTGGCCGCAGCAAGAAGCAGGTGAGATTCCTGTGCTACCCTTCCCATGACATCTGTGGTTGGGGACAGTATGGTGTCTCCTAGGGATTCACCCCCTGTTCCTCTTCCCACACTTACCTGAGGGACAAGAGAAGAGTTTGGTTGGGAGGGTAAGACTGGGAGGATTGTGGTTTGAGGCAAGCCTAGAAAAATAGTTCGTGAGACCCCCATCTCCAAAATAGCCACGGCAAAATGTGTTATAGTTTGGGGGTCAAAAGAATAGCTTGCAGGCCACTGCCACCAGCCACAGAAAGTGGCCTTGAGCTGACTGTATGTATCAGCCCCTTGAAATGAAGCGGGAGACAACAGTTAGCACACAGCCAGAGCCCTCTCATGCTCTCTCCTCCCAGTGCCTTCCTGGGTGCTGCTCAGGAGAGACTCCCATCTTTCCCTCTTTCTTCCTTCCTGGAAGTACCTAGTTCCAGGTCTCTTCTTGCAGGGTACTCTCCTCTTTCTCTGTGGATGTGCCTTTCCTGGTTGCCTCAGTCTTCTCAGCCTGCTGCCCAGCCCCAGCCCCTTCTCCCTGCTGCCCAGCAGCCCTTAATCCCAGCAGGAACCTGGCTCACGTTCTTAGCCTTGCCCTTTCCTTCCGAGGCAGAGTTCAGAACTGTGTTCTTCCAAGCCATGTGGGTGGGGTCAGCAATCCCTTTACACAGATCTGCTGTGGCCTTTGAGCAGGTCTTTCTGAGGGTGGAGCACAGCTAAGGGCACACCAGGCTGGGGAATGTGGTTCGTATTGGTGGGTAGGCACTTGTGCCCCAGCCCATTGGAGTAGGTTGCTGATTTTTACTTGCAACTTCTCTCCCCATCCACCCTAACTCCACGGTCAAGAGGCCTTGGCTCCAGGTCTGCCCCTCACTAACAAGGTGTCCCCTCACTAGGCCTGTTTCCATCACCCAGTCTCTACTGGAACTGCTTCCAGGATGGACTTGAGTATGTACTCTTGTGCCAGGCAGGCAAGTTGTTGCAGGACAGCCCCTCCTCCCTATAACATGGATTATTTCCTAGATCCAAAATGTGATGCTCCTACAATGTGTCCACTGTGATGTCCGCAGGTGCACTCCCATCCAGAGTTTTACCCTGAGAACATGGGGAAAGAAATGATTTTCATAAACCAGTGAAGACAGAGCCATTAAAAAAGAGCCATTAAGCTGGGCCCCCGCGGTTCCTGCCTGTAATCCTAGCCACTCAGGAGGCAGAGATCAGGAGGATTGGAGTTTGAAGCCAGCCCAGGCAAATAGTTTGCAATATCTTATTTATCTCGAAAAAACTCATCACAAAAAAAAAGGGCTGGTGGAGTGTAGGCCCTGAGTTCAAGCCCCAGTACTGCAAAAAAAAAAGCCATTAAGAAAACCAAAACCTGTCAGATGCTAGTGGTTTACTCCTGTAATCCTAGCTGTTCTGGAGGCAGAAATTAGGAGGATCAAGGTTCAAAGCCACGAAAATACCTAAGAGAAAACAGGGTTGGCAGAGTGGCTCAAGTGGTAGAGCTCCTGCCAAGAAAGCGTGAAATTCTGAGTTTAAAACTTGACCAGGCATAGTGTAATCCCAACTCTTAGGGAGGCAGAAGAATTGAGGTTTGAGGCCAGCTTGGGCAAAAAGTTTCAGAGACCCCCCCCCCACCTTAACAAATAAGGCAGAGATAGTGGTACATGCTTGTGATCCCAACTGGGCTGAAGCACAGGTAGAGGACTGTAATCTGAGGGCCAGCCCAGGAAAACAAAAAATACAAGACCCTATCTGAAAAATAACCTAAAAAAAAAAAAAAAGGCAGGTGTGGTGATGCACACTTTTGACCCCAATGTTCAGGAGGCTGAAGTAGAATTGCAAATTCAAGACCAGCCAGGGCCACATAGCTGAGTTCCAGACCAGCCCAAGCAATATAGTGAAACCCTGTCTCAAAAAACTAACCCCACAATCCTGTTAGTATAAACACCGCCAATACCTAAGGCCTTGTTTCACCTTGTACCCTGCCCTGACCTCTGTCCCCTACTGTTAACA